CATATTATTTAGGCTGTTTGAAATTATAATTTTGTTTTATATTCTTTATAAAACTTAAATGCAGTAGAAAGGGGTATTAAGTTAAAAAAATATTATATTGCAAAAGTAATAATGATTATTTATTGGCTTATAAGCATATGACTTATTGAAATCTCAAAGTAGAATTAATGTTTTTATTAGGCAGTTTAGTTTCAGAGAAGAGCTCTTGAAAATGAAGAGGTAGAATATTAACCAAAATTATAATTTCAAACGGCTTTATAAAAGTTTTTATTAATATCTTTATTATTATTAAAATTTAAAGAATTTGAAAAAAATGAAGTAGAAGTTGATGATGTTGATAATTTGTCATTTGATAGATTTTTAAAAGAAATTAAAAATGACTATGAAAACTGTGAACCAAAATTACAACAAGTATTTAAGATGTTTATTAAAAGATATAGAGCAGCCAAGTCACAATTAATTGCTCAGGCAATCATATTTTTTTACAATCTTGATTCTTCTACACAAATTAAAAATGGTGCAATAATTCGTGTCCAGCCAGAGTCTGTAAAATAAAGAAAAATAAAAGGTAGAAGCAATAAATGAAGATATCATACAAATAAGAAGAACATCTTTCTAGAAATTCCCAGACGTAAAGTACGACAAACAAATAAGCAAGGGCACAATTTGAGTAAAAATATCATAAATAATGTTTTAAACTATAGTTAAATTAGAACTTTCTGTTGTTTATATAATTATACATTATAATTAAAATTTATATTTCAGTTCTGCTGTATAACTTGCATTTGAAATATGAACTTTTATTATATAATTGTAAAAACAAAGGATATAATACATATTAATAATACATATGTTACTATTTCTAATTACATACTTAAATTTAGTTCTTTTCACTATTATAATAAAAAAAAAGTATTTACTTATTATCTAATTCAATCAAATACTATATTATTATAATTAGATGATTGTATTACTATAATCAACAGTTACACTGCAGTGAATGACATAACCTAACACAAAATGTAGGAGTGCTACTTTAACATCGAAAAAAAAAATTAATTACTATTTATATTAATATTTATATTGATATTTATATTAATATTTACATTAATTTTTATATTGACTTTTATATTCTTTTATCATTGCATACTTTATTTCTTTTATTTATTCATTATATCTGAATTAATTTTTATTGCTTTTATTATATATTTTTTTCAACTTTTATGGGTTCATAAGAATATAATTTTATAACTTGTGAAATTTTTACTTGAATATTAGAGTTGCTATAAAAATATTTAAATGTACTAAAAAATCTAAACCTTCAGTATAATATGAAATTCAAATATTAGGTGGTTAATACTTTTAAAGTTTATCATATTGGTGTAATAGAGAACTGTATCTGCTTAAATAAGATAAGAATAATCTAAAAAAAGGTAAATTTATGCTTGTTTTTAAAAAATAAAAATATTTGTAACAATAATAATAACAACTTTCTTATAAATTAGATTTGAGTTAAATACTGTTATAGTTAGTTAAAAATATAATTAATAAACCAAAGTATATATTATTCGATATATTTCCCAAAAGAGTTCTATCAATATGCACTATTGTTTTCAAAAACTTTTTAAATCATGTTCAGGTATATGTATTATATTAACTTTAATAAATAAATTTATATAGTTAAAATTTAAATTGCATTAGTTTGATACTACATATCAATATAATAGCTATTTTTATTAGAGAATATAAGTATACCTTTTATATAAGGTACCATTTTAGTTAATCTCTTATTATAAACCAGCTTAGTTTAAATTAGCTGAAAAAGCTGCCATGTTATTTCTTAATTTTTGTTTTATATACAGCTCTCTGTAATTTTCTATACTAACAAATATTTTTAAGAAAATGCTGAAGTTTTGGCCAACAGTAAAAATGGTATATGATTTTCCTTGAAACTTAATGTCAAGAACTTGTAGAGAAAGGTAATGATATCCTTGAAGTAAAACTAGAAGCATAGATAGAATATACAAGATGAACTAACTAGAGTGTTAGTTTAAAAAGTGCTATATGTAAAATTTTTATTTTTTTATTATGCAGAAGTGATGAATAATCAATATTGTTCTTCTTAAAAAATGACATTCTATTATATAGTATTTGATCAATATCTTCATAATGATACAAATTCAAGTAATATTCTAATAGCAGAAAATAATAATTATGATAATAATAAAATTATAATTCTGATATTAATGAATCAGAAGATTTTATTTTGGATAGTACTATCATAGAAGATATTGAATTAGAAATTATAGAAGATCAGAATTGAAAAGAATGAAAAGTTTTGAATTATATACCCCTTTCTACTGCATTTAAGTTTTATAAAGAATATAAAACAAAATTATAATTTCAAACAGCCTAAATAATATG